TGTGTGTGTGTGTGTGTGTGTGTGTGTGTGTGTGTGTGTGTGTGTGTGTGTGTGTGTGTGACAGCTCTTAGGGTCGTGGGAAGTGGTTTAACTGACACAACTCTCTGCTGTTGAATTCAGACCTCTGTCTTCAGGCCTGTTGGACCAGATCTTTGACTGGAGTTTCCTGTACTACCTCACCACATTGTTTCCTGTTGTTCAGCAGTTACYTAAACTCAGTGTGTTTCACTTTGTTACACACTTGCTGTCTTCCTGCTCTGATGTCTTTACAACAGAAACTAAATGCTCGTGCTCTTGATCTACGTGTCGTTCACACAGTGAGGTTTTGGCTCACATACCTGAACAGTTCTGTGACACAAGGGTTTTTATAAAAATGAGTTAGATGAAGCGATGCTAATGTTAGGTCTAGAACAGCATCACTTCTCATGTGTTTTAATAAAGGTGAGTTAGCTGAGGCAATGCTAATGTTAGCTAATGTGGACTCTTTTTATCTAATGTTGATTTCTGATGGACTGGAGACCTGTCCAGTGTGTACCCCACCTCTCGTACTGATACTACTGGATATGTACCAGTGACCCTGAAAGGAAGAAGCGGGTAGATGATGGATGGATGGATGGATGGATGGATGGATGGATGGATGGACTGCTCAGCTCATCTTAAATTTTCTCTGCAGCTGCAGTCTAATACTTACCAACAAATTTATGCTTTTCCAAAGTCATGTAGACTGACTAAAATAACTGATTTATGCTTAAGTAAACATTGAAAGAAACTGATAAAGGATCATTCATAGATTTTGTCCGTCCATCCATCCATCCATCCATCCATCCATCAACCAACCAACCAACCACACATCCATCCATCAATCCATTAATTCATCCATCAACCATCCATCATCCATCCATCCATCCATCCATCATAAACACATCCATCCATCCATCCATCCACCAATACATTCATTTATCCATCATCTATCCATCCATCCATCCATCCATCCATCCATCCATCCACCAACCAACCAACCACACATCCATCCATCAGTCCATTAATTCATCCATCATCCATCAACCATCCATCCATCCATCCATCCATCCATCCATCCATCCATCCATCAAAAACACATCCATCCATCCACCAATACATTCATTTATCCATCATCTATCCATCCATCAAAAACCCATCCATCCATCCACCAATACATTCATTTATCCATCATCTATCCATCCATCCATCCATCCATCCATCCATCCACCAATACATTCATTTATCCATCATCTATCCATCCATCCATCAACCAACCAACCAACCACACATCCATCCATCAGTCCATTAATTCATCCATCATCCATCAACCATCCGTCATCCATCCATCCATCCATCCATCCATCCATCCATCCATCAAAAAACACATCCATCCATCCATTCATCCATTCATCCATCCATCCATCAACAATTATCCATTCATCCATCCATCCATCCATCAAAAACACATCCATCCATCCATCCATCCATCCATCTATCCATCAATCCATTCATTTATCCATCCATCCATCCATCAAAAAACACATCCATCCATCCATCCATCTGTCATCCATCCATCCATCCATCCATCAAAAAACACATCCATCCATCCATCCATCCATCTGTCATCCATCCATCCATCCATCCATCCATCCATCCATTCATTTATCTATCCATCCATCAAAAACACATCTGTCCATGCATCCCCCAACCAACCAACCATCCATCCATCCATCCATCCATCAAAAAACTCATCCATCCATCCATCCATCCATCCATCCACCGACCGACCGACCGACTAACCATCCATCCATCCATCCATCCATCCATCCATCCATTCATTTATCCATCCATCCATCCATCCATCCATCCATGCATTCATCCATCCATCAATCATTGCTTTATAAAAGGTCTGGTCTCGGGGGCAGCAGCTTGAGCAGGGAGATCCAGACCTCTCTCTCTCCAACCACCTCTTCCAGTTCTTCTGAGAGGACTCAAGGTGTTCCCAGGCCAGCCGAGAGTCTCTCCATTGTGTCCTGGGTCCTCCATGGGGGGGTCTCCTCCAGCCTCCCCCATCCTAATAGATTTTATTATGCCTCTGCCCACTGGGTGCGGGGTCAGAGGCATACTGTTCTTTGGTTGTCCGTCTGTCAGAGGTGTCAAAAGTATTCACATTCATTACTTAAGTAGAAGTATAGATACTAGGGTTTAAAAGATCTTTTTTTGGAAGTAGAAATATCAACTCAAGCTTTTTACACAAAGTATAAATCTTCTTAAATTATATAAGTGTAAAAGGAAAGGTAATGAACACTTAACAAAAAGCCATTAAGGATAAAAGCTTAAGCTGTTCTATAGCGTACCCCCCAGACACACATACACTCACATTTTTCTTCTAAAGTCAGTAATAAGCATAATGTTAAATTAAAATGTTAATGTTGAAAATTAGACAAGTTGTTTCAGCCACGATCATCTTCATTCTAGGCTCCATCTGCTACAGTCTGTCCTGCTGTGATGTGATGTGATTTGTGTCATGCAGGTGTGATGGAGTCAGTTCAATCCAATAGGATATCAGGATGATTTATATTTACATTTCTCATCCAACCACAATCAAATTCACTCTATCCATAGGCTCCATTTATCTGGATAGATTTCTATTTATTTATTTATTTTTTTCTGAACAATGAAAAGATGGAATAAAAACAAGTCAAATTTAAATTGAAATGAGATACTTTGTGCATTTTTAGAAAGTAAGGAGTATAAAGTACAGATTATTGAATTAAAATGTAAGGAGTGGAAGTAAAAAGTAGGCTGAAAAATTACTCCACTAAAGTATAAAAAACCAACATTTCTACTTAAGTAAAGTAAAAAGTATTTGTACTTAGCTACTTGACACCTCTGTCGTCTGTGTGTTACCGGGTTCAAAATTCCATTCGGCGCGCTGTCTTGTGTGTGCTGTATCTCCTGAAGGGAGCTATTGATTTCAGTCAAAATTGACAAGAYAGTTGTTAACCCAATGGAGATCTGAAAACATTTTAGGGTCAAAGGTCAAAGCTGAAGGTCAGTTAAAGTAATCTTTGTTGCTTGAATCCTCTTATTTTGGATGGTAAACAAAAGTGGTTGGTCACTGAAATGAATGATATGGTAAATAACAAAGACATATTGTTACATAGAATATTTAAGTCCAAAAACAGAGGTCAACAGATGATTGCATGCCCAGTGCTTTAAATGCAGACGAGTCTAGGGCAGGTGGAGGCACATCAGTCCATGCTTTGGTGTTGAGTTTAACTTTGTTTTATATAAAGTATGTTGTTTTTTGTGTAGTTAGCTAAATTTTTGTCATCTAAAATGAGTCGTTCTAATTTCTTTCTCATGTTGTTTTTTTAATGTTTTTTCTACCTTCTGAACCTGCCATTCTTGCCTCATGATGACCGGTCTGCTCTCCATCTCAGCTGTAAGTATTCTGAAAGCACCATTACATTTTATTAGGGGTCCAAGCCCGAGGAAGCAGGGTAACGCAGCTGCAAAGCAGCAGCGTTTCCATGTCTCCATCGGAGCATGGAACCCTATTGTATCTGTTCCGTTTTTTATTATTATTATTATTATTATTATTAGGGGTCCAAGCCCGAGGAAGCGGGGGTTTCCATGTCTCCATCGGAGCATGGAACCCTATTGTATCTGTTCCGTTTTTTATTATTATTATTATTATTATTATTAGGGGTCCAAGCCCGAGG